CAAAAATGTAACCTAAAACTGCAAGAAAATTAACCAAAAATACTAAGCCAAAGTCGAAGACACTTACACACACACACGACTATAGTACATACACAAGCACACACATGTGTGGCTGAAGACTGTGCCTACGAAAAGTGTAGCACACAATTTGTAGGCGGAGCGGGCGTTGGGCAGGGTAGGGGAGGAGGCACGAGAGTGCATGGAGCCTTTGACTTGGCAACGTGGCAAGGCAAGCAAAAGCAACTTGGCACGAAGGTGAGGCGCCTTTACCTACCCCTGACCCCCGTCACCTACCTACTCTCGTACCCCCTTCCCCCTACAAAGCAACCTTCTACCTCTTGTGATGTGTAGAAACTTTGGCATTGTTTTTGTGTGTGAGTGTGTATGTGTGTGTATTGGGAGGCGGCGTCGCTTGTCGGGCATCCTTTTTGTGATGTGGGATTTCTATATGTGTATATATATATAAATGTGTATGTGTGCGTATTAAGACTGGTGCTGAGCTTAGTCTGTGCCCGCCTCTAACTCAGTTTTCGCAGCAACTTTGATTGTGGCTGTAGCTGAAATACATTGCTGCCTTCTACAGCTGCTGCTGCAGCGCCTTTATTTTGGCCAAGATGGAGTTCAGTTTAGCAGCCAGTATAGATGTGGATGTGTGTGTATGTGTGTGTGGGGAATGAGCGGGGGTGTGTGTACTGTGTGAGCGGATGTGGTGTGGGTGGTGGCCTCGCCACCTAGGTTTGTCTGTTTTGCGCTTGACAGTACGCAAAGACGTTCCATGGCAGGTTTTTCGTGAACAAGAGTGTGATGCTGCCTTCTTTGTGGAAGTGGAAGTTCAGTGTGTGTGCATGTGTGTGTGTGTGTCTGTGTGTGTAAGTGTACATGTGGTAAGGGGAAGCTTTGAGCTGATGGCTGTTATTTATATGGGTGTCTATAGATGTGTAGTGGGGTTTGAGGATGGTAAGCCCAGAAGCTAGTGATGAGCTACACTGAACAAAACTGCTGGGCAGCGTGATCTACTACAAAAGCTGTAAGTGGACATGGGATATAACTATAAATCCAGAAAACAGTTTCTTAACTGATCAATTTAAAGGATCGTCTGATAAACATTTCTGTACTAAATTTCTGTATTAAATTGATCCATAGATATTTTGTTTGACAATCAATAAGTTGCCTATTGAATTATTATTTAAAATCAGATATATTTATTTGTATCTGAACAATTGTGTGTGGTGAATCACATTGTATACAAATATTAGTTGCAGTAAATGTGTCCACAAATAAAAGCTCAGATTTTAAAAATGCTAACCGACATCTTTAGGTTTTAACTTCAAATTGTTAATCAGAGCTCTTGAAACGAGATCATAGTTATACGGTTATCATGACCAGTTTCAGCTCCTTATTCGCCGCATGATTTTTTACCCCTTGTTACCCCCATTCCATGCAAACATATCAGAATCATTCTCTCAGTGTGTGTGGCATCACCCGAAATGTAACCCGTCGAGCTTGTCGCTTGCCCTTAGCCAAAGTCGTCGCCATCGTCGTTCCTGTCGTTGTCCCCGTCTCTTTGCCCATTCAAATGGGAGGAGTTTACTCAGAGCAATGTCTTCGTTGGTTTTCTTGTCATCTATTTCTATTTTCGAGCTATGGATGAGCAGATGAGGGTCTTGGGCTGTCTAACTTGTCTGTTTGTATGATGTGAAGCTAGCAGCTATCCAGCCACACTCCTTGTCCTCTGCCTCTTCGCCCTGATCTATTCATGTGTGGCAGCCGCTCAGCACACACACACATGTGTGTTTGAGTATGTATTGGTGTGTGCAAAAAACCGTAAGCAATTTTCCGTAACATCTAACCGAGGTAGAGAATCGAGCCCAAGACAGCCAAGGCAAAAGACATTCGCCATCCACGTTCTCGCCAAAGATGCAACTCCTTCTACTTTCGATACACCCGCTTCCTGGGTCCTGGGTTCTGTTTCGACTATGCCCTGATGCTGGAGCTGCTCCTGCTGCTGCTGCTGCTGCTGTTGTTGACGACATTGACTGGTTCTCTCTCTCTGTCTACTTCGATTCGCCTGGCACGTTGTCTGACTGCCTGGCTGCGACACTAATGCTGAGATGTGTAACCGTAACGCCACAGCCCTCAATCTAAACTTTGGGCCACCGAAAAATTGAATGGGTCGGGCTTTGGGGACATGGGGTGCACTCCAACTCTCAGATATTGGCGGCAGCACCGAAATCATGTTTGATTACAGCTGAGCAGCATAACAAGTTATGCCTGGCATTTGACTGAGCTGCAGCAAACTTTGGATACTTCTCCCTATCTTTATAAGTCTCTCACATCTTTAAGTTTGGGTTGATTTCCAAGGTACAAATTAAACCGAAAGACGCTTTCGACACGATGTCCTGCGGCGGCTTATGTGCGCTTAAGCACAAAGCTTGACCATCCACACACACACACACACACACACACACACATAGAGACAAGCACATATCCAATTTCTCACACCCCCAAACATTCACATATGTGGCATAACTGTCCCTGCTCTTCGTCTTGGTTTGAAGTTGCCTTTGACACAAGCCCTCACACACAAACACAAAACACACTCACACCCTCTCTTGCATACATACACACACACCACTATTTATATACAAATGCCGCCGACTATATACAAAAGTCAATGCTTTTGTTGCTTCACGGGTTTGGGGACCAGTCTTGGCACACCCCCTTCCACGGCTCTGACCCACCCATATTTGCAATAAACAAACAAGCTAAAGAGTCCTCAACATGTGTTTGGCATCTTAAATACCCTAACCAATGTGCATTAGCTAATTATAATAACTAAAAAAATAGGCTTAGTTCGAACTTAGATCAACAATCAACTTTTAATTCAATTAAATATTTAGCAAAGAAAAGAAAGCTACAAGCATATCATAAAAATGCATTCAACAGATCATATTGATCATATCAACCAAATACTGATTTTAACTTATTCTCAGTTTTCGAATTTATAATCAGTACTCATTTAATAACCAAAGCTTTCTATGATGTTAAACAATTCTGGATCCGTTAACAAATGTCATTATATGTGTCCCATAAAGAGAGAAAGAGAATTTGGAAATATTACAAAATATATTTATGTTTGTAAATCACAATTTTTCATTTGGGAGATCAGAGTTACAAAAACATTACGATAAGCATGATCCTCATGATCAGTCATTATTGTTAAGCTATCATAATATGTGCCCAGCAATAGTTTCATATTTACAGAGACTACCTTGTCCAAATTCGTTCATCTAACAAATCAACCAAAGTTTCTGGTATACCCTTCTTCGCGTTTAATGTGTAAGCAGCACATATAAACTTGCTTGAGCGCTGGACAGTCTTTGGACTTTGTGGGTGTGTATCGGTTGCGGGATTTGGCTCCAGAAGCTTTACTTCTTTTGTGGCGGCAATGCTGGCGCCCAAGTTCCCGTCCTAACCCCTCTAACACCCGCCCAAACCCGTCGGCCATTTGGCAGCGTTGCCAGCGCCTTCGTCTTCGTCATTTGATGAATTACCGTGCAGGGCAAAATGTGCGCCCTTTGCTTGGCTGGGTACGGGTGCCTTCTAAGGGTGGATGGGTGTGAGTGTGTGTGGTGTGGTGTATGTGGGTGTGTACATGTGTGTGTGTGAGAGGCGTGTGCGGTGTGTATGCTCGTGTGTCGCGTTTCATTCTGGGCCGCAGACACCCATTGCCACAACCATCAAATGAAACACACAAACACACACACGTCAACTCACTTCGCGCCTCTATATATACTCAATATACACACTCACACCTAACCAGACACACACACACACACACATACACATGCATACAGTTGGCGCGTTGTCGTATATCATTAGAGGGGTGCCCATCTCCGTCTCATTCCACTTGATCTTCCCCTTTCCCCCACCTTCAGAATGTCTAGGCGCCATTTCATCCGAATCGGCATTATGAGCAGGTTTTCTTATACGGCGGCTGCGGTTGCAGCTCCTGCCTACGCGGCGTATTAGTAATATTTTCTGCAACTGTCTACGTTTTCTTCTCGATTTCTTTCATTTTCACTGGGGCAGGTGTATCTGTTTGTGGTGTAAGAGGTGTATGTTATTTGCTTTGCCGCTGCTGGTCCAAGGTTGGCAAGAAAAAAAATAAATAAAAAAAAGAAAACGAATGTCTGCCTTTATGGGGGGGCCAAATTGATTTCATATTCGTCTAAATGAAGGAGACGATGAAAATTCGGGGGGTTTATGAAGGTGGGTGTGAAATTGTGGCTTAATATTGAAAGCCATAAGAAAGATGTTATGGCGCGAGACAAATGCTACGCAAACTATGATGGAAATTGAGTTAAGAGTGTTTTCTAATAGATATTTAATTTAAAAACAAAGAGAGTACAAAATATACTAGGAATATCAAGCGAAAATGAAACCATAATAAGATTTTTTAAATAATGCTTACTTGAAGAATTCAAAACACAGTGGAGAGTAGGGAGGAGTGCCCATCAAACATTTATAAAACAACGATTTTGAATACTCATTTTTCTCATTTGATCGATTATAAGCTTCATATAATTGCCATTATATTTCGGTGGATTATGATTATAGAATTTTAAAAACATTCATTATGTCTACTTAAGGATATTTTCGCATATATATAATAACCAAATAACTAAGCAAATATTTTATGTTTCTTAAGATTTTTTGAGATGTCCTTGAAACTTATTCAGTTATAATCAGTTAAGAAAGAAAAAACCAAATTATTTCATTTACTAACGTATTTTTTTAAAATATTTTCATATATCTTAAAAATGATTTGCAGTTATTTTCAAAATCATGATATATGGGAGGAGGTAAATGGGTGGAATATTTCTACTTCTAGAATTCTGTAGCTGAGATTTTTCATTAATTTATAATGCTATTGTGACGTCACAATGTCAGGGTATTTGTGTGAGGGGGAGGTGGGTGTGGGTGGTCGCTGAACTCACCTTGTGCAGCAACACCGATGCTTTTCTTTTAGATGCCATTTTCGTGCTGGTGGTGGCACCTCCGCCAGCACCGCCGCCACCGCCACCGGTTGCCGATGCGGTACGTGTCGAAGTTTTTGGTGTTTTTCTCGGATTTTTCGGAATTTTGGCAAATTTTTTTATTGCCCGCTGTGTGTAATAAAATTGACGGAAAACCAAAGAATCAAAATGACGCAAACGTTGCCAAAACTCGATTATATCAAAGTTGCTATGCAGCAGGCAACTATCGCTATTATCTCTAGCACTATACACTGTTCACTATTGTTAATCTAAAGATGGAAAAGTAATAACTTTTTTTTGGCGCGATTTTTGTTTCTTTCGTTCAATTTGTTTTGCTTTTGTTTTTGCTTTTATTTGTTGTTGTGAAACACTGTGCGATTGATTCGTTTTGATATGATTTGTTTTGTTTTGTTTGGTTAGTTCGCGGCGAATGCAACAAGCGAACTTTTTGGCACACTAAACGCTAACGGTTATTTTGAGTGTTTTGATGGATTTGTTTGTTCTCAGACTGGTTAGAGCTCTCCACCAGAGGCAATCCAAACACGACGAAAGCCAACTGCTGACTGACCAAAACAGAGACAGACAAATGTGTTTTCTAGCGGCTAGAGCCAGTGACGCCGACTGCGGCTGCCGTAGAGAGAGAGAGAGCAGCAGCAGTAGCAGCAGTAGCAGCACTCGGTGAGAGCCAAGAGAGCCGGAGTGTGTGTGTGAGCGAGGGAGAGAGATGGGCATGCGCGCAAGCAAGGCGAAATGAATGTGGGACGCCGCCAAAAAGCACATGGAGAACGCGGAACGTACGTGTGGAAGGCAAATGCCAAAAACTGTGCAACACAATGTGCTCGGACGGGCAACGGGCAACGGGCAGTGGGCAATGGGCGACTGGATCCCATGGTCGAGTCGAGGGATATGAGTACAAAAACAGAGAAACGCCGATAACGGCGTCAACGAACCAACGAGCGACGGGCGCACGAGGGGAACGAGAGAAACAGCGGATGGCGACGGCAGATGAGTTGACAAACAGCTGAGTGCCGAGTTTTGTGAATGGTTTGGGAGACCAGTCAGTCAGTGGGGCGGGGGGTATGTTTGTGTGTGTGTGTGGAGTGTGGAGTGTGAGGTGTTGCCGAGTGGATGGATGGGTATGGGTATGGTGTCCTTGTGTGTGTGTGTGTGTGTGTGTTTGGTAGGGGAGGGTGGAGGAATGGCAATTATTTTTGTTGCTTTTTTTTGCGCGTCGCCAACAAAAATGCAACAGCAGCAGCAACAACAAAAACAATGTTGCTGAGAGCAGCGCCACCAGAAGCTGAGAGTGGGCTAGCTCGCGCCTTGGTGTGAGTGGGATTGTGAGAGACTCTGTGTGTGTGTGTGTGTGTGTGTGAGTTGTTGTTGCTGTTGTCTTTCGCCGGCATGGTGAAAAAAAAGGCCGGTTGGGATCGGTCGGTTCGTCGTTTGGTTTACCAGGGTAGGTGGGCAGCAGGGGTGTGGATTGGGGGGGTGCTCGTCGGCGTTTCGGATATGAAAAACGCACAAAAAATAAAGCATGCATTTGATGGGTGGGTGAGTGGATGGGTATTGCGTTTGGTTGGTTTGAGCAGCGTGAAGTTTTTGTAAAGAATAAAAGAGAGACAAATAAACGGGCGACGGGCGGATTCAGTCTCATTTTATTTTATTTTTCGTTTTTTTTTCATTTTTTTCGTCTTGCTGTTGGTGTGAGTACAAAAAGGGTCAAGAGCGCTGGGCTATGGCCACCTTTGGCAAAAGAAATGCTTAGCTAGAGGGTTGAGTTTGGGTTCCCGCCACGGTGCGTGTTTATTGAGCTGCTGGCCGCCCCTCATCCCACGTCCCTCATCGGCAAGTTTGGCTCTAGAGCCCCGACGCTGTTTCAAAATTTTTTTGAGTTTGTCGTCTGATCATAAAACTCAACTGATTTTTGTTTTTCTTCTTGGCCAGCAACAACAATAATAGTGCCAAGAGCTGCTGCTGGGGCTTGTGTGTCATCAGAGTTGCCCAGCAGCAGTGGGGTGGGGGCGGTGGAGTTTGTGGGTGGCTGTTGTTAGCCGAAACGTGGCGGCGTCTTCGTCTTGTTTACTGTTGATTTGCGTTCAGGTTATTGTCTTTATCATTTAGATTTATGTAGCGACTGTCAATGATTCAGTGAAACTTACGACGTGGAGATGAATGAAAATGTAATGATGGATATAAACTAAATACGAATTTACATATAAAAATGTATTTACTTTTAAGCTTCATAAACACATAACTTGAATAAAACCAAAGGTCAAAGCTGCTACCCAATATAGATTCTGCATTGAACAATTATATATTTTTTAAAGCTTATTTGGATTAATGTTACGCTCTGAAATATGGTAAAAACAATCCTCTCACTTGGCATACCATTTGAATCGTGGTTTGTTATCAATATATATTCATCGTTAATGTTAAAGGCGGCATTTAATTTAAATTTAAGAAAATTATATTGTATAAAAAAATTATTATTAAATTCAGAATTCAAATTAACAAATCACTTTTTGTATAAGTTTCTAGTAAAGAGTGTGATAATCGAATACTCCTTCTATACGTTTGACTCTCAATAAGTGGTCAAATCAGAGCTGATTTTACAATGAAACTCCATTTTGATCCAGAACTTTTCTCTAGATTGATATCCTGTACCCCCGCTTTAACATTTCTTAGTATTATTATTGCATGTGATATCTAAGGAATGCATTGGGGACTTTTTAACTTTGCACTCTGTGAATCCTTTCAATGATTGGTTTATTGGGCCTTATTCAGCTAAATAGCAGTCTCTTAGAGACCACATCACAAACTTTCTGCGTACCAATTCCTGAAATTCCCAAACCCAACTGAGCCACATAAAAAGAAACTCACCCACAAAAAAGGAAAGCTGACGAACACAACGCAATTCAACTCCAAACTGGGAAAGGGAAATGCTTTCAAACGTCGATTGGACTGTCGGACTGTCGGTTATTTGATGATTGTCTACTGCGTTTTTCTGCTTCTTCGCTTCTTTGGTTTTTTCTTCGTCACATTAAACTGACCAACATATCTGCGGCGTGGCAAGAAACTGGTCAGGGGTGAATGGAGCTGGTTTGGTTGGATGGTAGTACACGAACTTAACTTGGAAATGGGGGTGTGCAATCAAAAATGTTGAAAAGAAACGAACAAATAAGTTGTGTGTGGGGGGTGGAGGGGGGGGGGGGGGTTGAATCGAACTAAACGTCAGCTTGTGGATTGAGTTGGGGGGAAGGGGCTCGGTTGGGTGGCGGACAACACGATTCCCATCTTTGCAGTTCAATATGTCAACAGCTCTGGCTTCAAATTGCCTGCTCATCAAGCTGGCCTCCACCCCACCATAACCCAAAACTGTCGCCCTCAATTTGAGGGCCGAAATCAGGCAAAGGACAACGCGCCAATGTTTAGCATTTGTGACCACGAAGCATAGCCAAAAGCCGTAGCCGATGCCGTTGCCGTTGCCGTTGTCGTTGTCGTTGACGTTGATTATTATAGTTATAATGGCTATCATGATGTTTGTCATCGCCTCGCACAGCATTCAACACGTGCCAAGCCGTAAGCGGCCACAACAACAAGGACCGCAAGGACAATGATGTGTATGACGAGGCCTCGACCTCGTCTACAGCTTGCCAGCCAAATTGACGCGCTCATCACATTTTCAAGTTTCAAATAACCACCTATATATATATATATATATAATATGCATATTTGTGTGTGTGTGTGTGTGTGTTTGTCTTGAGCATTTGGCAGTCAAAGTGTTTAAGTTAACAGGCCAATTGGCTTATATATAATTAAAGCTCGCTATCTTGATACAAGCGCCGCTTTTGGGCATTGCCATAAGACCAATCCTCTGGAAACTGTGGAAATGGGCGACAAGTGTATTATTTTAGATATATATATAATATATATATGGATGAATATGTATATGTATTTACTCATCTTGTGCATTTGCAATTGGCATTTGCCATAATTAGGTTAATGAATACGCTCAGTGGTTAATGAGTCAGACAATTGATTTGTTATGATAATATTATGCATTTAAGCGAATACGTTGCATTCGCACATGAAAGGAAGAGTGAGTTTTAAAGCTGATTTTCTGGATAATCATCAGATAATTATGCAAACGTTTAAGGTATCGATTATAAGTGAACTGCAATTGATTATGTCTCATAAGTAAATTAGTTAGTAACAGGTTTTATACCCTTGAGGGTGCCATAATTTTGTTGTGATATCTTCGAACAAAAATAATCAGGAATCTGCCGAAGCTGGCCGGTTCAGATTACCATATCGCATAAACTCACTTTAAAAGTGTGTTATTCCACTTCTAAAATTTAAAGAAAAAAACCAAAACTTCTGAATACTATATTAAATTGCTTACATAAGAACAATCAGATTGTTTCTTCTTTTTAATGAAAGTTAGGTGCCAACGGGATTTGTGATATTTTTGAACGTAATGAAATAGGTTATGTAGAATCAAACTTTATAACACACTTACATATATCCTTATATAATAGGCAAGCGATATCATATATAGCGAAGGTAAACACATTTTTATTTGTTTATGCACACTCAAAGCGATATATAATGTAAGACTATTTTATGTGCTTTTGCAATTTTATCAATTATGATAAACTTTTTTATATTATTTATATTGGAAATATGTTACCTTTATTTAGCGTTGCTATTATACATTTAATTGAATTTGCAAGATAAGAGACATATTAAAAATAGCATTGTAAATACCATAAAACTTGAAAAAACATAAATTCAATTGTTTTTTTTTTTTTTTTTTTTGCCGCTGCAAAATTAGTTACGCAAAGCAACAAAAACGTATTTCATCAAAAATTCATAAATGCGAATCTCAAAAAGTCGCATAAAAGCAAATTAATGCAAAATTTATAAAGCACAAAAGGTAAAATAAAAAAGAGAGAAATATTATATGTAAAATAAATAATATATAAAATATTTATATAAATTGCACAAAAATGCGCAGTTCGAGAAAAGAAAAAAAACATTAGCAAACTGCATTAAATGCGCAGCCGCCTCTATTTTCAAATGTCACGCCTCCCCCCTCCCCCATGCACTCACACCCCGCGTAAATATGCCTATATATGGGTATATATAATGGAACATGTACAAACATTTCAGACGATTTGTGTTTTTTGTACTGCAGGAGTGCCAAACTAATGCAAAAACAAAAACAAATGGTTAGTAATATGGCAAAA